AGATATTTCGGATTAATAGTTGAAAAATATTTATTAAACATTATTTTTTAAAGAAAAATTTAATCGAGATGAATTGTGAATATCTTCAGCCAATCAAATTACACACAGTGTATAACGAAAGCTTGAATTGTTTCCACGTTATTTTCATGTTCTCAAGATCCCGGTCAAGACAGCTCAAGCCGACTCGAAATTTAGTATTTATTTATTGTGCCAACAATATATAATTTTTTTTTAAAAAAAAAAAAGACCTCACACTGTGATTGAACTTCAAACTTTAACAAAGTAGATAAATTCTTATTAATCCGAACTTGATTTTTTTCCTCTTCCTCTCTTTTGAATTTTTATTTGTGAGGCACAGTTCTTTGCAGATCAATTAGAAAGTTTAATTAGCGCGTTACCATTGCCGTGCGATAAGCCACACATGCATAATATAACAAGATACTGTGACCGTAATATACTAATACCCTATTATTACTATCACCGTAATTCCATGTAATAGTAATAGTAATAGTAATAGTAATAATAATAACGGGAATTACGGAACCAACTATAATTGTGGTTGTGCGTGAATTTGAAATCTCTGTCAATTTTTTGAAATTCACGCGCGTGAATTTCAATTAGCTAATCATAATTTTATATCCAAACATTCCACCCAAAATTTAAATTGACATAAACGTTTATAATAACAATAATGTAATGTGATTAGAAATCGTCATCAACAAAACAGCATATTCTTTTCCCCTGGTGATATTTTTAATAACAAGTCCAGTGTCCACGTAACTACAATTTCAAAAATTAATTTAAATTTAATTGCCATTGTCATGAATCATCATCATCTTTACTGAGAAAAAAAATTTTTTTTTAAATTAAAATAACAGCTTACTTTTTTTTTTAAAAAATCTAGAATTGAAAGATATTACGGGAAATACTCGTGTAACGAATTTGATATTAATTATAGTAATAATGGGCATTGCCCTTCTTGTCATGTATATTTTATTTCCCATAATAAATAAATAGTGATTTTATAAAACTTTTCTTGGAATTATTAATGAAAAATTATTTTGAATAATAATTACAATGTCCAAATATCATATACAAATTTTATTGATCATCACTCATTTTTTTATCTTTTTTATCTTCTATTTCAGGAAATTTCTTTGAAAAATCTGTCCAAACCTTTTCTGCATATTCTTTACTTATATCACCAAAAACCACTTTGAAAACATCGTTATACCATGCTACTGGCACACCTGTTAAACCTTCTTTTACATTATCAGGTAATTCCTCCCAATCACTTATATTTGCATCAGGAAAAATTATAGTTTTCACTCCTGACCTTTTGGCTGCTACTGCTTTCTCTCTAAGGCCTCCGATTTTTAAAACTTTTCCTGTCAACGTTAATTCACCTGTCATTGCTATTGTAGGGTCAAGAGGTTTTGATAATGCTAATGATAAAAGCGATGTGGTCATAGTAATTCCAGCAGATGGTCCTTAACAATTAATCACAATATTATCCATTATTATTAATTTTTCAATACAAAAAAAAAATTAAAAAAAAATATAAAGCAACAGTCATATAAACAAATACCATCTTTTTGAGTAGCTCCTTCTGGTATGTGAAGATGTATAGCTGCCTTTTCGAAAAATTTATTTTCTGGAAATTGTCGAACCATCAAACTTTTTGAATATGTATAAGCAATAGTAGTAGATTCTTTCATCACATCACCCATTTGTCCAGTTTTTGAAAGTGAAGGTGTTGATTTTTTATTAATAATAGATTCTAAAGTAGACTCAACGTATAATGCGGAACCACCTTAATAAATAAATAAATAAATATCGAAAAATTAAGATTTGTTTTTTTTAATAAGCAATCACCCAATCAATGTCAATAATCTTACATACCCATACTTGTCCATGCTAAACCCATAACAACACCAGGTGGTGTATGATCGTATAAACGGTCGGAATGCCATACAGGTGGACCAACATAATCTTTCAAATTTTCTGAGGTAATATTAACATGAATGCCCTCAGGAACTTCTAATGGTTTCTGTGGTTCTGTAGTTGTGGAGAACTCATTTTTTGGTGCTTGCTCTATTGTTGTTGATTGTGATGGTGGCGATTCTGTTTCTTTATTGTTATTTATAACTCCTTGATCTTCTGGTATTATTTCTTCTTTTATTTCATTTACTATTTTGAGAGCAGCTTTACGATATATTTTATCAATATGTTTCTTAAGATTACGGACACCACTTTCTCGACAATATGAACGAATCAAAGTTTCAATTGCATCTTGTTGAATTGTAACTTCTACATTCTGTAATCCTGCCATTTCTTTAGCTGTAGGTGCTAAATATTTAGAAGCTATTGCTACCTTTTCATCAGCAACATATCCAGACAATTGAATCACCTCCATACGATCAAGTAACGGAAGCGGTATAGTATCCACAACATTGGCAGTACAAACAAATAGTATTTTTGATAAATCTATCGGAACATCCATGTAATGATCCAAGAAAGATGAATTTTGTTCAGGATCAAGGAGTTCAAGAAGAGCTGATGATGGATCACCTTGATGGCCACGTCCAATCTTATCAACTATATGTATATATATATTTTAAATTAAAAGCTATTAGATTAATTAATTGAAACCTATATAGCATGGATATTTTTTATTCATTCATACCTTCATCAATCAGTATCAATGGATTTTCGGTTTGAACTTTTTTCAATGCCTGGACAACTTTACCGGGCATAGCTCCTACATATGTACGACGATGTCCCTTAATTTCAGCAACATCTGTAAGTCCACCAACACTAAATCGATAAAATTGTCTAGATAATGCTCTAGCAATTGATTTTCCAATAGATGTTTTGCCAACACCTATCAATAAAAAAAAATAATCAATTTATAATCAAATGATATAAAGATTTATGCTATGTGTCTATATAACTTACCAGGAGGCCCAACGAAACATAAAATCTTGCCTTCAACAGTGCCCCTCAATTTTCCAACAGCTATGAATTCTAATATTCGATCCTTTACATCTTGAAGCCCATAATGATCTTCATCTAAAACTTTCACTGCGTGTTTAATATTATAATTTTCAGGAGATCTTTGTCCCCATGGTACTTGTGTAAGCCAGTCTAAATAATTCCTTGTGACATTAAATTCAGAAGCTGCAGGCTCCAGATGTGCAAGTTTATTAATTTCCTAATAAAATTAAAAAGAAACTGAGAATGTACAGGATTGATAATTTTATATACTAATGCATGTATCTAAGTGAGGTTTTAATTAAATAAATTGTTTTACCTCGTCAAAAACTTTTTTAACAGTTTCTGGCATGGCAAGTTTTTCTGCTTTTTCTTTGAATTTTTCAACCAATTTATCCTTTCCATCTGATTCAATCCCCAATTCTTTTTTGATACCCTTTAATTGTTCCATCAAATAATATTCTCTTTGTCGTTTTGCAATTTTAGATTCTACCTCCTTACTGATTTTACTTTGCAATTGAGCATTTACTAACTCTTTCTTAAGAACTAACAAAGATCTTTGCAATCTTTCTTCAATAACTAGACTCTCAAGAACTTCTTGTAACTCATTTGGTTCACCTGTAGATACTGCAGCTGCGAAATCAGCCAATTTTGCTGGTTCTTCAAAAACATTTCCAGCAGATTGTGACATGGAAAAATTGGCAATTTGATCACGAAATAGTGGATTTAATGTTGCAATATCTTTGAAAACTGCAACAATTTCTGATGTAATGGCACGAACGATTTGATTTTTCCTATTATAAGGTTCATCATGTAAATTTTCTACATTCACAAGTGACACATTATAATTTTCAAGGAATGAAGTTGCATATTGAGGTTCAGATTCTTTTTTTTTTAAAAAAAAAATGATGAATTAATTGAATTGATATGTATGGTTTTAAGAACTTTATTAATCTTTTATAAAAATTTAAAATTTTTAACTTACCTTTTTTTATTGGTTCTTCATTAACTGAAGGACCAGGTTCAGCAACAATTTCAGCTTCTGGTGCGCTGCTTTGTGTTGTTGGTGGTATAAGTTCAGTAATACGAATTCTTCGATGAGGATATAAAACAGCAGTCAAAGAATTTTCATCTTGGGCTCCATTTGCAGGGAAAACACTTGTGATCTGTGCAAATACTCCCACTTTATAAACTTGTGCAATATTAGTAATTGTATCAACATCAAGCTCTTCATCTTTTAAAAGGAATGCTCCAACATAAGGTTGACCACGTTTCATTAATTCTTTCACAGCAGCTGTAACATTTGCATCTTTAATTTCAACAGCTTTATAGAATCCTGGGAATAATGGCCTTCTGGCAATTGGCAATGCCAATACTTGTGGATAGATTTCAGGTATTGTTGGTTTTTGCATAGTTGTTTCCAAAACATGTAAAGTCCTATGTATTCCTTCAAATGGTGATTTGGGTGCCGGAGTATCAGCAGGTCCATCACCACCACCACTACCTTTATTAGATCCATCACCTTTACTACCATCACTTGGATTATCACTACTACTATTACCACCACCACCGCCACCATTATCGTTACTAGAACCGTTTTGGTTTCCATTCTTATTATCACCTTCTCCCTTTCCATCATCACCTTTTGATCCGTCACTATTAGAATTTTGAGACGAGTCTGAACTAAGTTTTGATTTTCCACGGCGAAAACCTCGTGTAATTTGTAAAATCCGTGGTTCATTATAAATTAATGATTTTTGAATGTTGTTATGCCTAATTAAATGCAAAATTGTAGAATGAGTGTACAATGTGGTTGGTGCTGTATATTGCGAAAAAAATTTTGACCATAAATTAATAGTTCTTATTGACATTTTTGAAATTCTTTAATATCAATAGATTTTAAATAGTGATCTACATCAATGTAGATCCATTTTAAAATTCTCTTCCACCACTGGTAAATCTCTAATCTTTTTACAAATTTCTTATAGATCTAATCAGCATCAAATATGGATAATACTGAAGAACGCAAAAAACATTTACCCGAAATTCGGGAAAGATCAAGACAAACATACTTAAAAGACAGAGCAACAAAACAAATGCATTTGTTAGAATTAGATGTGATTGATGAAGATCTTTTATTTAAAGATGAAAAACTCACTAAAAAAGAGAAAAAGGAACTTGAGTTTAAGAGAGAAACTTTAAGGCTTACTAGAGAAAGACTTAATTTATCAATAAAGACTGATGAATATCATATGCCAGAAGGTAAAGTTTTATTTTTTGGATTTTTTTTTAAACATACTTTTCTTGTTTTAATAATTTATTTAATAAAATAAAATAAATAGATTATATAACAGAAAAAGGAAAGATTGACAAAAAAAAGAAAGATACAGTATTATATCAACGTTATGAAGAAGATAGAGATCAAAAAGGATTTGTTAATGAACAAGAAGTATGGGAAAAGAATCAAATTGTGAAATCACAATTAAATGTTGGAGCACAGGACAGACTAAAGGGAGAAGATTATGAGTTCGTTTTTGAAGAACCATTGATTGATTTTCTAGATTGGGATTGGAAAGCAAATGATAAAGATGAAGCACTTCTTGCAAGGATTGAAGAAGCAGAGAAAAAATGTAATAAATCAAATAATAATGCTTTATAAACTTTTATTTTTATTTTTAATTCTTAATTTTATGATCACGATGATATTTATTTTTACAATTTTATATATAATATAATAGTAAAAAACATCGAGGAAGTTCGTAAATCATTACCAATATATACTTATCGTGATGATTTATTAAAAGCTATTGAAGATCACCAAGTTTTGGTGGTCATCGGAGAAACTGGTTCAGGGAAAACCAACCAACTTCCACAGTATCTTTATGAAGCAGGTTATACGAAAGATGATAAAAAAATTGGATGTACACAACCAAGAAGAGTAGCAGCTATGAGTGTTGCCGCTCGTGTGGCCGAAGAAATGAACGTTAAACTTGGATTCGAGGTAAGTTATAGTCTTTATATATATATATATATATATATAATAATAGCAATCAATAATTAAATATTGATTATTTTTTAATTAGGTTGGTTATTCTATTAGATTTGAGGATTGTACATCAGACAAAACATTAATTAAATATATGACAGATGGTATGCTTTTACGCGAGTTTTTGAGTGAACCTTTATTAGATGGATATTCCTGTCTTATAATTGATGAAGCACATGAGAGAACTCTGCATACTGATATTTTGTTTGGTTTGGTCAAGGTAAAAAAAATTTTAGGAAAAAAACTTTTATTTTTATTTTGAAATAAGATTACTGATTTTAAATTTACCTATAAAAAGGACATTTCTCGAGTCAGAACTGATCTTAGACTTATAATATCTAGCGCAACATTAAATGCTCAAAAATTTGCTGCCTATTTTGATGATGCACCAATTTTTAGGAGTAAGCTTTAATAATACTTATGATGTATTCTTAGGTTTAATAATTTTTTTTTTCAAGTTAATTTTTTTTAAACAATTTAATAATAATAATAGTTCCAGGTAAACCTTACCCAGTTCAAATTTGTCATACAAAAGCTCCAGAAGCAAATTACATTTCTGCAGCAATAGCTACCGTTATGCAAATACATATTTCACAAAATACAGGAGACATATTAGTCTTTCTTACAGTAAGTTTATATCATTACATTTATAATTATAAATAATGATTATAATGATTATTTTATTGTTGTTTACTAATATTTCTATTTACTTAGGGTCAAGAAGAAATTGAGACTGTTCAAGAAAGTTTACAACAAACATGTAGAGTTCTTGGCAGTAAAGTAAAAGAATTAATAATATGTCCAATTTATTCCAATCTTCCACCTGATATGCAAGCTAAAATATTTGAGGCAACACCACCTGGTGCTCGAAAAGTTTGTAAAAAATTTTATTTATTTTTTATATTTAAAATTGTTTATTAATATGAATAAAAAATTTTATTATATTTAGGTTATTTTGGCTACCAATATTGCTGAAACTTCTATTACTATAAATGGTGTTACGTTTGTCATAGATCCAGGTTTTGTTAAACAAAATCATTATAGTTCAAAAACACATATGGAGTCATTATTGGTTGTTCCGGTAAATTTTTTTTTTTAATAATTGAAAGCTAATAAATGAAGACGCATGCATTATAAAGAAATAATTATTATAAAATTTTTCTCTTCAAAAAATATTTTAGTCCTCAAGGGCTCCGCCAAACCAAAGAGCTGGCAGAGCAGGACGTGTTGGTCCTGGACATTGCTTTAGATTATATACGAAATATGCTTATGCCAATGAATTAGAAGAAGATACAGTTCCAGAAATTCAAAGAACAAATTTGTCTAATGTTATCCTATTGTTAAAAGTGAGCATATTAATAATACTAAATATTTACTTTTATTAATAACAAATGTATAATATTAATATGACTTTTTTTGTTATATATATATTTATTTGTATTTATAGAGTATTGGTGTAGATGTGATGAAGTTTGAATTTATGGATCCACCTCATGAACAAGGAATGATTTCAGCACTTAATGATTTGTATGCACTTGGTGCACTAAACAACGATGGTGAATTAACAAAATTGGGTAGACGTATGGCCGAGTTTCCTATAGATCCTTTATTATCTAAAACAATTATAACATCTGAGAAATTTCATTGCTCAGAAGAGGTAAACGATATTTATATTTATATTTATTATTATAATTAATTTTATTATTCTGATTATTTTAATAAATATTTTATAGGTTATATCTATAGTTTGTATGTTAACGGTACAAAGTTCGGTTTTTTATAGACCAAAGGATAAAAAATTTTACGCTGATAAGGCTCATCAAAATTTCATTAAACCTGGTGGAGATCATCTCATGTTACTAAATATTTGGGAACAAGTAAGTGGTCATAATAACAAAATATAATATGTTGAATATTCCCTTTGAATGAATTATAACATTGCCATTTTGCAAACAAATTAATTTGTATAAAGTGGGCAGAAACAAATTATTCTATGGGTTGGTGTTATGAAAATTTTATAGTATATCGATCCATGAATCGAGCAAGAGATGTTCGTGATCAACTAGTGAAATTATGTGATCGTACTGAAGTTGAATTAAAATCAAATCCTGATCCTGGTGACATAATTCCAATACAAAAGGTTAGTTAGTTGAATAGTTATTAATAGAAATATATGCGTATTAGCGTGAGTTTGTATGGAAAAAAAACATTATATTGAACTTTTTTTTTTTTTAAATTGTGTTATTAATAATAGTCAATAGTTTCTGGATTTTTCATGAATGCTGCAAGGTTGACAATGTTTAGTGATTCATATCACAAATTAAAATTTGGAGATCCAAGTCGCGTTGTTCATATACATCCCAGCAGTTCATTATTTGAAGAAAAACCAAAATTTGTATTATATTTTGAGTTAGTACTTACGAGTAAAGAATATATGCGCCAAGTTATGGAAATAAAACCTGAGTGGCTTGTTGAAGGTTAGTGGTGGTGATGGTGGTGACGGTGGTCGTAATAGTAATATCAATAATCATTATTTTTAATATATGGCTAACAAAAATACTTTTTTTGTCTTGATAAAAATATTTAGCGGCACCTCATTATTATTCAAAAGAGGATATTGGCGAAAAGAAGAAAATGCCAAAAAACAATAAATAATTTTTTTGGTGCGTGTATGTGTATATATAGATAGATGTATTTATATTAATTAATATAAAAATAATGATAATAATAAAATTGCTCTTATTATGTTAATTCATTACCTAAAGTAAAGAAAGGTTTACTACATATAATATTCGCGTTGTAATTGAATTTTATATATTATTGATTAATAGATTTGTCTTGGTTTCTTTATTTTGAAGGATTGACATATCATAATGGGCGATGATATTTGAGATTCTTCGTAAACAATCAATAAAGGAAATTTTCTGTTCTTGGTTGGGTACAAGGATCATGGAAACTAAAGTATTTCATTGGCACGATTTTTCCACAATTAAACAGCGAAGGAGGCACTCGAGATACTTGATAAATTAACCCTCCGACAGACTTGATGAGAAAAGATGATAAAATAGACATTGTTAAACGAAAAGAGTCAAGGACTATGGATAACAGTTTTTGTATTAAAAGCAAATTATATTTTTGTCCATTATATTGTAAATTATACATTAGTCAAAATTTTCAAATCAATCACTACAGATAAACAATAATAATCCATTATTGAACTAATTTATGTATGGCCTTCTCTCGTAAATATGTAATATTTACCATTGTAATATTTATACCATAAATATATTGTGCCTTGATTTAATAGCGCTATTTGTTTAAACCACGATTGTGGGTGTAGAGATTGGACTCGGTCAGAAATTCTTTATTAGATTAATCCAGAACTAGGCTTCCATGAACGCGTAATGTCAAGGTGATATTATTTGTGAATTCTAGTAGATTCGGGAAAAAAATTACGTGCCTAAATTAACACTAACGCCGAAGATTTTTTTGTTGAAAAAGGGTTTGCGCAACCCTGCCATATAATCTAAATTAACAACCCGTTCGGGCAGAATTTGAATCATTATTATTATATTAATATTTTACGGATGACTCAAGCATTTAAAAAATTAATCCTTCAAACAGACGTAGCTGTTTCACATTTTTATCAATAATTAGTTATGATTCATCCATTTCCTCTCTCTTCCAAAAAAATCTTCGAGAACATCTCTATATTTCCTCCAAAATCACCGCAAAGCATCTTCGGTTGTTGATCTATTGAATTCATCCTTGCATAGACTTTCAATTAATCCGATCCTTGAAGCTCAACAGAATTAAATATCCGACAGACCAAATATCAACATTCTCGTTGTGATGGGATTTGAAAATCTCGGGTTCATGACTTTCTTTAGCTAATTGTGTGCTAGGAATATTTGAAAGAGCACTGCACGCATAATTGAAATCGATAATGAACCAACCGTCTCGATCTATGGACTTTAACACGTTATTCCAAAGGAGATCGCGATGCACGATTTTCATTTTGTGGAGAGCCTGAGAATGGATATTCGTTTATAAAATACCTACATTTTCAAGATAGCAAACAATGGATGAAATGAAAGATAATAGATGCCTTAAGGGCGGTCAAAACATAACACAAAGTTTTGATTAGTTATTCCTTTGATTGTGGCTTACACATAATGCCCCTTGGTGAAAAAATCATGAATGGAGTTGGTCCTTCCTCTGTATTGACGTGGTTGAGGGAATCAATGAAACGAACTTGACGCTTAATCTTAAGTGATGCTATTTTAGTTGAAAAGGCCAAGCAAATCGTAACTGGGTTAGGAGTTTTTGAAGGAACATTGACATTTAAATAACACCAATAAAATACTTTTGTTCTATAAGTGCACGGTCTTGTCTGGTGCACTTATGGAGGGTTGACTGTACAACTAACTCCCTATTACTATTGATCTGCGTGACATGTTCTGTGACTGTTAAGGTACACAGATAACATCAATAAAATATCAGTGTAATTGTGATGTAATTTCATTACAGACATATTAACTTTGATTAGTTTCATGAAATTTATTTGATCATGTCTGCTTCTAACGAAAAAAGAAAGGTAAACACCAAAAATATATTGAACCTTCCAAATCTATACCGTTTTTCTTATTTATTATCCTTGTTACAGGAAGAGAGAGTATATTCAAGATACCCAAGCTTTTAAAGAAAGGAAAAAAAAAGGTTTGGCTTTGTCATTAACATTCCATCGTTATTAAATGATCAAAATTCATTCTCAATAAACACTTGATATAGCACCCAACCAGCTTGATTAACCTATGCCAATTTCCAATCCACCTGAGACCGTTAGTTCTCTTCTCAAATATGAAACAAGTCCAGGGCAAGCTCTGAAATTTCTAGGTAAAGCTGAAATTTTCAGTTTAGTGTACAAGTAATACATTTGCGATAATTTAACATAATGTCCTTGTAGATCGTGTAGGTCCTGACTTCAAATGGCCTGCTTCAATGAATGTACATGACAGAGGAACAGCTTTTTTTTACATAGCAGGTGAAGATGCTTTGGAATTTGATGGCGAAACAGGATTTAATATGATCGCCTTCTTTGACAATCTAGATAGGGGTACATTCAATGGGCATGAAGATAGCTGGGTATTGATATATAAACAAGAAATTAAAAAGTATGGACCAGCATATACAAGTAAAGAGTTAGAGGATATGGAAAACGAGATGCCCGGTGCAATATACCTACCAATAGATAAAAAGTGCCGTGATGATCTTGTTAAGGTGGCCTCAGCAAGGACTGTACATGCTTGACGTGCTGAAAATGAAAACGAACATATGGTCTGAAATTTGAGTAATTAGATTAATAATTATATCATGAAATAAATATTCATTAAACATCTTGAATTCTAAATAACCGAATTCTATCTATCTCCTATCATTTTTTCTTTGTTAAATAGCATAAACCATAGTAATGAACAGTTAAAAGCTCTATCCCATCAAAACAATCCAAAAAATTCTTTTAATTTTGTAGCCAACATGACCTTTTAATATTATAATTGTCTTCTAAGAAATAAACATGCTCATTATATAGATATCTATATTCTTTGATGCTTTCATATTTTCTGGATTGTTAATGTGGATTCCATTATTAATGACTAATATCTTTTCCTTCGATTATTTTGACCACACACATTTCCATATGATTCACAGTTGATAATGTTGTAGTATTTGGTGACAATATTTTCTCAGGGAGAGACATAATAAATAATGTATTTTTTCATAAAATTCTGTGGTTTGTGGAAAAATAAGAATGACTTAATAATAAACCATAACAAGTTTATGAATGAGAATGCAAAGCGAGCCTTTTGTTTTTTATGTATTACACTATATCATGCATGCCGTGCTGCTCGAGATCAAAAATTTATTAAAGTTGAGTTTGGATTGCGTCTTTTGTTGTAAGGAGCAAAAAATCACATCACTTGGATCAAGACAACAATATAAAGACTTCTTTAAATTCAAAATGTACAACGTGTTTCAAAAAAAAAAAAAAAATAGACTAGTAAAAATTTTGGAATATATTACTAGAATATTAATTTTTTTTTCAAATAATCAGGTTCCTCCTATACAAAATGATGTATGTTTTTGCGTTGGGGCAATTATTAAAGTTTAGTAAATTTTTAAGAAAAATACGCGAATCAGCTTTATAAAATCTGGACAATATCAAATTTTTATTATTTAATAAAGTAATTAATAAACTTTCAAATGAATATGTCTAACGCAGCAATTTTTTCGTGAAAAAATGATATATTTAATATGTACAATATTTTTATAAATTATAATATTCCAAACAAAAGAAAGAATAAGAAAATGGTGAATGTTCAATTTGTAATAGATATAATGTCTGGTATTCATGTAATCCACAATTATTAACTCAAGGATGAAGTGGTGAGTAACAAAACAATCGACGAATTAATTACACAGATTAAAAATAATAAGTTTAATTATTTCTTATTATTAAAGCTCTGAACGAATCTGGTTGAGTCGGGTTTCTAATTTTTTGATAATTTTAATTGATAGTATATATTGATTCAAATCGAATTTATATGCATTAGATAGTATATATCGACTCGAATAAGGCTTTAATTGAATTGAATTGAATCGAATCAAAACACAATTCGTAGAGCCTTAAATTTAAAGAATTATTAAATAAAGTATCAATAATAATGAGATTTAGTCGGTTATTTGGGAAAATGGAAATAAAAAAAATTATAATGTTGTCAAACTACATTAATCTCAAATATCGTTTAAAACTTTGGTTCCTTAAAAGTTTCATTTTAAATATGCTATTCTTACTGAATTTATATTAATATAAATACTAAATAAAAGACTAATATACTCGCATCAGTAAATTTCATTTTTAATAAACAGAAAAAAAGTCACCAATAAAGTTATATATGAAATCAACTATTTAATTCATGACTAAAAATTCCATCGCATTTATAGACTTTCCTGAACTATAACACCAGAATGTATTACCCACATCTAAATACTACATCGGCAACGTGTAACAGAGTCGGTTTCAACAAATAATTCGAATTAAAATCAATATTTAAACAGGATCACGATCTTGGTCTTCTTCTGCAGGTAGATTGACCTTTTACGTTCATTGATCTCGTTCTCTCATTAATTAAAGGTGGTCGGGAGTTCTAACGACGTTTCAGAAGGGCTTAATAGCATAAAGAGGTAAAATCCTAACGAATGTCTTGGCTAACATATGATTATTGGTTTAGTTGGGTGCTTCATTAGGGTTATACACTCGGCCTTGGTTTTCGGTGATATTATTTTCTAATCATTTCTTATGAGAGAGATCCTTTTAGAATAGAATGAAGATTGGCGGCTTCAATTTATTCGCTTGTTTGGTGATAGATTCAATTAGCAACTAAAATATTTAGCGCTAATTCCTTTTTGTTCTGTGCTATAATCTAAAAATACATTATTATATATAAATATATTTCATTACATACTATAATTTGCCTTCTTGGCTCAGTTGGCAGAGCGTCTGCCTAGTAATAAAAATTGCAAGCAGAAGGTCACCAGTTCGATTCTGGTAGAAGGCATACAATTGTAAAGACATTTTCTATCAATATTCCATGATA